GCCCCCACCACCACCAACCTGGTCACCCCTTATTGCCCCCCCTGCCGGCCTGGTCGTCCCCAACTGCTCCCCCTGCTGGCCTGGTCGCCCCACACAGCCTGTTGATCAGTTTTTTGGTTGTCCCTCACTAACCCCCCTGCTGGCCTGGTCGCCCCATGCAGCCTGCTGTTCAGTCATTTGGTTGACCCTCACTAACCCCCGCCGCCCCTGCTGGCCTTGTCCCCCATGCAGCCTGCAGTTCAGTCATTTGGTTGTTTCTCACTAACCCCCCTGACAGCCTTGTCGCCCCAGGTAACCTGGTGTTCAGTCGTTACTGTTACTGTGACGGCGTCCCAGACATTTTGCATATTCCTCTATTATTAGTATAGATAAGGAAGTACATTTTATGTAGATAATTTAAACTGAATGTAATCAATGTGCTAGAGAAAGGTTCCCCACCTCTTTCACAGAGTGAAAAATAGGATTGTCTCACTGGATGTCTTATTTGTTTATTGGCACATTAATAATCACTTTGAGTACCTTTTGAAAAATATTTTTTAGAAAGTCATATTTTAAGAGGGATATTGACAAACTGGGTCATCTTCAGAGGTCAGTCAGGTGCTTCCAAATATTCAGATGCTTAAATATTTGGAACCTACAAGTACTGAGACTATATAATCTGGAGGGGGAAAAAACAAAAATAAGCAAAAACTTTTCAAATATTTGGAGGTCACTGAAGAAGAAAGGTTACATCTGTTTAGAAATGAAATAGACTTTCATATGAAATAGCGAGATTTTAATTTCTGGCATTATTTGTGTATAGGCCATCAGCCATGCTGGGGGGAGTTGAGGGAGTTCTTTTCAGATCTCTTATAATTCAGAGATTTTATGATTCTCATAGTTCACCGTTCTGGTATAAGTGGTTGTTTGCTTATAATCATAGTTGTTGGTGTATCATTATATTATAAAAAGTATATTTGAAATAATCTAAAATAATTTCTATTCTTTAGGATTTAAACACTATCTACTCTTATCTTCATGGAATGGAAATATTATCAAACCTCAGAGAACATCAGCTTAGGTAAGTGTGATGTTGTGTTTAAGAGGATGTGCTGTGGAGTTATTCAAATGAGTTTAGGTAGATAATTGCAGGGCCCAAATCTTTTTAAGGACTTTTTATAGAATGAGCATAAGGAATTTGTGTTTTTCATACCAGTTTTTCTTAGCCATGGGAATCCGTATAACTTTTGACTCCCCCAAAATCTAACTACTAATAGCCCACTGTTGATCAGAAACCTTACTGATAACATAAGCAGTCGATTAACACATTTTAACATTTTTTAATTGATTTTTTAATTTTTTTTAAGAGAGAGGGGAAGGCAGGGCTGGGGCAGAGAGAGAGAAACATCAACTGGTTGTCTCCCATATGCGCCTTAACGGGATTGAACCCACAACCTAGGTATGTGCCCTGACCAAAAATCGTACCTGCAACCTTTCAGGTGCACAAGACGATGCTTCAACCAACTAAGCCACACTGGCCAGGGATAACACGTATTTTATACGTTATATGTATTACATACTGTATTCTTACAATGCAGTAAGCTAGACAAAAAATGTTATTAAGAAAATCATGAAGAAGATAAATATATTCATAGTACTTACTGAAAAAAATTGGCGTATATGTGGACTTGCTCAGTTCAAACCCATGTTGTTCAAGGGTCAACTGTAACTATGTAAAGCAAAGCACAGCACTCTGCTAGCATGTGAAAATAAAAATTTTTTGTTTTGTTTTTGTAGTTAATATTGATATTTACTATGTCAGATGCTTAAAATGGGCATGGTATGATGTAGAGTTGTATTAAAGTGGAAGGAGCAGAATTCTTGATTTGGTATAAGTTCTTGTGGACAAGATCCATAAACTTTCTAAACCTCATTTTTCTTTTGTAAAATTAGCTTTCTCTCCTTCTACCTTACGTCATTGAGATTACACAGGGTATGGCAAAAGTAGGTTTACAGTTGTGAGTATGCAAAACAGTTTATTTTTATATTATTATTAATTATTGTATTATTTTCCATACAAACAACTATAAACCTACTTTTGCTCCACCCTGAATTTGTAAAAACAATTTTGAGTGCTATTAACTGCTATTTTAACTTTGCATAACATTTTAATTGAAATGTGTTTTCCTTCCATGGCCAGGTTATCCACCTCTTTTTCTGGCTGTTGTTTTTATTTTATTTTTTTTATGTTTTTATTGATTTTAGAGAGGGGGAGAGAGGGATAGGAACATCAATGATGAGAGAGAATCATTGATCTGCTGCCTCCTGCACACCCCCTGCTGGGGATCAAGCCTGCAACCCCAGGCATGTGTCCTGATCAGGAATCGAACTGTGACCTCTTGGTTCATAGGTTGACTGACATTCAACCACGGAACCATACTGGTCAGGCTCTGGCTGTTCCTTAAGTTTTGGGTTATGGACCAGATTGCTAATTAATTCTTTGGAATTTATTATTTTCTGTTTCCTTTATAACAATTCAGGTGTTAGTATGTATCAAATAAGAAAGAAAGAAGAGCCCTAACCAGTTTGGCTCAGTGGATAGAGCATCAGCCTGCAGACTGAAGGGTCCCAGGTTTGATTCTGGTCAAGGGCATGTACCTTAGTTGCGGGCACATCCCCAGTAGGGGGTGTGCAGGAGGCAGCTGATTGATGTTTCTAACTCTTTATCCCTCTCCCTTCCTCTCTGTAAAAAATCAATAAAAAAAGAAAGAAGAAAACTGAAAATTAGAAAATTTAGTAACACTAATAATATTTTTTAAATGAAAGTAAATTTATATAATTATTCAACAGAATTTGTGTGTGTGTGTGTTTGCATCTGTCAGTAACTGTTCTTCACACAAGGATTTAGTGTGAATTGACAGCTTATTTTTTCATAATTAAAAAATACATTATTTAGTGTGAATGTACATAAAGAGTATTATACTTGTTGCCACTTAACATCTAATTGTTTTTGAAAATGTTGCATTTAATGTATATATTTCTAAACTCTTATAGTTTAGTGAAAAATGTAGTGGTAAATCTGATCATTTTCTATTAAGGTGATTATAACAGAATTTTTTAAACAAAATTTAAGGTAAAAATCTTTAAAATTTTTACTTTTTAAAATAGATTAATGTCTGCAAGAGCACGCTATGAGAGATACAGTGGCAATCAAATTCTTTTTTGGTAAGTACCTTCATAATTAGCGTAAATTAATTGCTTTAATGTTTAAATTTTGATTTTTAGCATTGAAATTCTGGAACAATTTCTGTAGAACAGATTGAAATATATTCACAAACTATGAAATATAATAGGCATTGAGTCTACAAAAGGTGTACAATGTGGCAATGGTTAATAAATATAGACACCTGAATTGGGGGACATCTGTAATACTGTCAACAATAAAATAAAATACACACAAACACACACACACACACACACACACACGTGTAACTCCTACCCATGTGAACATGCAAAATATGTCAGGGCTCTAGAAGGCTCTAGTCACTTTTCTTGGAAAGGTAATCTAGTTCTAATTTCTATCGCTGTAGATTAGTTTTGCCTCTTTTGAATGTCATACAGATAAAATCTTTCGTCAGGCTTTTTTTTTTTTTTTTTTTTAACTTCACAAATGTCTGCAATTCTTCCAGGTTTTTGCACTCATTCTTTTTGTTGTTGTTGTTGTTGTTAATCCTCACCCAAGGATATTTTTTCCCATTGATTTTTAGAGAGAGTGGAAGGAAAGTAGGGAAGGGGGGAGAGAGAGAGAGAAACACCGATTTGTCTCACATCAATTGGTTACCTCCTGCACATACTCTCACTGGGACTGAAGATTGGACCTAAAACCTAGGTACGTGCCCTTGTCCAGGAATCTAACCTATGACCCTTTGTTGCTCAGGCTGATGCTCTTAACCACTGAGTAGCACTGGCCAGGGCTACACTCATTCTTTTTCACTGCTTTACAGTATCCAGTTGTGTGAAAATAACACAATTTGTTTATCCTGTTACTATATATTTAGGTTGTTCCCAGTTTTTTTTATTATCATAGTTTCTTTGAACATTTTGTTCATATCTTTTTATGCCCTTACTTACTCATTCCTGTTGGTCATATTCTTAGGAATAGAATTATTGGAACCTCACATGCTTAAATTTAGGAGATTCTAACAGAATCTGACGTGCATTTCATTTTGTTATCTCATTTGAGTTTATTTTACATTTCCCTGCTTACTAATGATAATGAATGATTTTCATATTTTTATGGGCTATTTGGATAGCTCTTTCTGAAATTCTGTTTCAAGTTTTACCATATTTTAATTGGGTTGTATGTCTTATTTCTATAGATTTTTAGAAGTTCTTTTTGAATTCTCTATTCAAGTTCTTTGTTGGATACTTATGTAGCATATATCTTCTCCCACTGTGTGGCTTTCCTTTTCACTCTATTAATGGCATCTTGAAGACAAATTCCTAACTTCTCAGTTTTTCCCTTTGTCATTAATGCTTTCCATGTCTGGTTAAAAACAAAATCTATTCCTTCCTCAACATTATTAAGATTTTTGGTGTTTTTTTTTTGCTACAGTGACCTCTTTTATTATATAGACTAGTGGCCTAGTGCACAGATTCGTGCACATTGAAATTACTTAGACGGTTACTTAGCCTTTTATGTATATAGATTCAACTGGTATATAGGAATGGTATTGATTTTCATGTTTTATTACTTGCACATTACATTTATCATTATTTCTAAACTACTTACATGATTTATATGGGTTTTGATAGCTACTTTCATTTATTTGTTGATCCAGTCATTTCTCTATACTAATAATAGAGGAATATGCAAATTATCCTGGACGCCGTCACAGTAACAGTAATGACTGAACAGCGTGCTGCGTGGGACGACAAGGCTGACAGGGGAGTTAGTGAGGGATGACCAAACAACTGAACATCAGGCTGCGTGGGGCAACCAGGCTGGCAGGGAGTGGCAGTTGGGGTCGACCAGGCCGGCAGGGGGGCTGTTAGGGGCATCCAGGCCAGTGGGGTGGGCAGTTGGGGGCAACCACGCTGGCAGGGGGAGGGCAGTAAGGGGTGACCAGACCAGCATGGGGGCAATTAGGGGCAACCAGGCCAGCAGGGGGGGCAGTGAGGGGCGACCAGGCCAGCAGGGGGGCAGTTAGGGGGGACCAGGCGGGCAGGGGGGCAGTTAGGGGCGATCAGGCCAGCAGGCAGAGGCAGCTAGGGGTGATCAGGCTGGTGAGGGTGCAGTTAAGGGCGATCAGGAAGGCAGGCAGGTGAGTAGTTAGGAGCCAGTGGTCCTGGATTGTGAGAAGGATGTCCGACTGTCGGTTTAGGCCCAATTCCCGGGGTCTGGCCTAAACTGCCAATCGGACATCCCGCGAGGGGTCCCAGATTGGAGAAGGTACAGGCTGGGCTAAGGGGACCCCACCCCCTTGTGCACGAATTTTGTGCACCAGGCCTCTAGTTATTAAATATTGGTCAGCTATACATTATGCTAATTCTAAAATAGAATGGTGGGAAGACAAATTATTTGTCCTTATTGAGTATCATGTAGTGGAGGAGAGTGAATTAATTAGAATAGTTACACATATTTTAGTGCTATCAAAGAAAAATATAGCTATATAAATCATTGGGACAGAATTGAGAGCCCAGAAATAAATTGATATTTATGAAGTTTTGCTACGCCTGCAAGGCAACAGTTTTATTATTTAAAAATGGCCTGTACCTAAGATCTGTACACAATGTGTATATAATATGATTGAGGATTAAAAAGGAATCTCCAATGAACCGTTTATTTTTGATGAAAGTGCTAAAGCATTTCAGAGGTAAAAACAAAGTTTTTTAAACAAATGGTGCTTGGTTAGTTGAGATATTACGTACAGAAGGTTAATTTAGACCTTTTCCTTATAACATATACAATAATTAATGAGTGTTACTTTATGCCAATTAGAATAGCTATAGTCAAAAAGGTACCCATTAAATAGATACAGTCAGAAAGGTACCTTATACTGTATACAGTAATTAATGAGATATCACTCTATACCAATTATAATAGCTACAGTAAAAAAGATAGACAGTAATGAATATAGACAAGGATATGGTAACACTTGGAATTCTCATATATTCGTGGTGAGGATGAAGAGTGGTATGGCCTTTTTAGGAAACAGTTTGGTGGTTTTTTAAAAAGTTAAGCAATTTCGAGGACTGGATCTCAAGCAGCGTGAATACGCGGACTCGGAAGGACCCTCCACCTTCTCACGGAAAGGTCAGATTTCACCTGGGAAAAGGAGAGAGAGAGCTACAAAACCAAACACCCCGAGAAGAGAGATCAGGAGGAGACAAAGAAACCCCCATATGAAAGAAAAGGAGGCATCACCAGAAAAGGAAGGAAACGGAATGGAGGCAAGCAATATGTCAGAGAAAGAATTCAGAGAAATGGTCATAAGGTCGCTGAAAAGAATAGAAGACAAATTCAACAATATGGTAAAGAACCAAGAGGAAATGAAGAAGAACCAAGAAGAAATGAAAAATGACATTGCTGCTATAAAGAACTCAATAGAAAGCATCAACAGTAGACTAGAAGAAGCAGAGGACCGCATCAGTAAGCTAGAAGACAAGGTAGGAAAAAATACCCAAGCAGAGCAGCATCTAGAAAAAAAACTTGAAAAACAGGAGGAGAGCCTAAGGGAACTTTGGGAAATCACAAAAGGAAACAACATCCACATAATAGGGGTGCCAGAAGGAGAGGAAACTGAGCAAGGAATAGAAAACCTGTTTGAAGAAATAATGACAGAAAACTTCCCTGATATAGGGAAGAAAAAACTCACACAAATCCAAGAAGCTCACAGAGTCCCAAACAAAATGAACCCCAAAAGACCAGCGCCAAGGCACATTATAATTAAATTGGCAAACACCAACGACAAAGTAAGAATCTTAAAAGCGGCTAGAGAAAGACAAAGTTACCTACAAAGGATTCCCCCATCAGACTGGCGACTGATTTCTCAACAGAAACACATCAGGCCAGAAGGGAATGGAATGAAATATACAAAGTCATGCAAAGGAAGGGTCTGAATCCAAGAATACTGTACCCAGCAAGGCTATCAATCAAAAATGAGGGTGAGATCAGGAGCTTCACAGACAAAAAAGGACTAAGGGAGTTTATTACCACCAAACCAGCAATGCAAGAAATGCTAAAGGGTCTGCTGTAAAAAGAAGAAATAGGAAGCAAAGAAGGAACACAGGCGTAAAGAATAAAAACGGAATCGAACCTGGGACCCTTCAGTCCGCAGGCCGATGCTCTATCCACTGAGCCAAACCAGCTAGGGCCAAAGAGAGAATCTTAAAAGCAGCAAGAGAAAAACAATCAGTTACCTACAAGAAAGTACCCATACGACTGTCAGCTGATTTCTCAACAGAAACTATGCAGGCCAGAAGGGAGTGGCAAGAAATATTCAAAGTGATGAATAGCAAGAACCTACAACCTAGATTACTTTACCCAGCAAAGCTCTCATTCAGAATTGAAGGTCAGATAAAGAGCTTCACAGATAAGAAAAAGCTAAAGGAGTTTATCACCACCAAACCAGTATTATATGAAATGCTGAAAGGTATCCTTTAAGAAGAGGAAGAAGAAGAAAAAGGTAAAGATACAAATTATGAACAACAAATACACATCTATCAACAAGTGAATCTAAAAATCAAGTGAATAAATAATCTGATGAACAGAATAAACCGGTGAATATAATAGAACCAGGGGCATAGAAAGGGAGTGGACTGACTCTTCTCGGGGGGGAAGGGGTGTCTGGGGTGTGGGAAGAGACTGGACAAAAATTGTACATCTATGGATGAGGGCAGTGGGTGGCGGGGGTAAGGGCAGAGGGTGGGGTGGGAACCGGGTGGAGGGGAGCTATGGGGGGAAAAAAGAGGAACAACTGTAATAATCTGAACAATAAAGATTTAATTAAAAAATGGAGCTCCGGTGGTGCAATCGGTTAGCGCGTGGTACTTATAAAAAATAAATAAATAAATAATAAATAAAGAACCTTAAGTGGGAATTTTACAGCCATTTGCATCTTCCTTCAGTAGAGAGAGAAAGGAACTTTAAAGTACCCACTGGAAAGTTGACAATATGTTTTTCTTCTGATGATAAGCAATTAGAATTGACCCAGAAAGCTTACCCTAGGTGGTTTATAGAATGGTTTGTAGGCCTGGGTTTCTGGATGGAGGATGGTACTACATTCAATGAGGACATAGAAAAGATCCATGCTTGAAGAAAATGAGGATGAGGTAGATTTTAAACATGTTGAGTTTGAATTGTCTGTTAGATATACAAGACGACATGTCAAGTAGACAGCCAGATAGATATACAGTTCTTAGCTCAAAGGAGATATTATTTTATACATATTAGAATCTTCAAATTAAAATTGATTGAAGACTATTGGTATGGTAAATAAAGATATTTGAGCGAAAGAGATTAGTTTAGATTATAAACTAACATCTAACAAGATTCTGGGTTTTTACTAGAGATCTAACTGAACTAAAATGCTGAAGGACTTATTATCTGATACTCTTTTATTTTATTCTTCAAACATAAACGAATGTATTTCAGAATAACACTGAAAAGAAATAAGTAGATTATTATCTAAATGTAGTTGAAAGTGAAGATACAACATTGATAAATTTGTGCATTCCAAATAATATTGTCTTCAATATACAGAATAGTTATTAGAAGTAGGATTTCTAATATGCAGATATAGTACAATATTTAAGTTGATCTCTATCATATGTGATGATCTAGTGCACAAAGATGAAGAATGTGAACATGGTCTGTGTTAGTTAATTTGTAATGATTTGCAGTACTAGAATATATTTCATGTTCTATACTTTGTATTGAATCCATATACATGTGAATGTGTGTATTTATTCACTTTTTATTTAAATAGTTCAGAAACTATTGCCAGATGTTGGTACATCTTGCTTTCTGGATCTGTGCTTATGAAAGACTCCATGGTCTTGCCGCCTTGCAGGTAAGTTTACATTTGGTGTTTAGTACACGTGGCAGGCAAAGTTAACATTATATCAATTTATTTTATCTCTTATGTTAATCTATGTAAGATGTGTATTTTTCTCTCATTAACTGATACATTTTATAAATGTCTTTGCTTATTGTAATTGGAAGTACTTGGCAGAAATCAATGGATATTTCATATTTCTTTATTTTTTAAAAATATATTTTTACTGATTTCAGAAAGGAAGGGAGAGGGGAAGAGAGATAGAAACATCATTGATGAGAGAGAATCATTAATTATCTGCCTTCTGCATACTCCACACTGGGGACTGAGCCTCCAACCCGGGTATGTGCCCTGACTGGGAATTGAACCCTGACCTCCTGGTTCATAGGTCAATGCTCAACCACTAAAGCATGCTGGCCAGGCAATATTTTATATTTCTGAGGAAACATATGTCTTTAAGTTTACACCGTGACATATATCTTACTCCTGTTTGATCTTTAGTTTTATGTGAAATTTGATCTGATTTATCTAATGGCTTCCGGATTCATTGCTCTTAATGGGTATATAGAGAGGCACTATCTTAATAGTTAAGAAATTGGTTTTTAGAGAAAGGCAAATGAGATAATAATCCTGACTTTATCACTTATTAGTGATCTGACTTTGGGCAAATTTTAGTTTCTTTACTGTAATATGATAATAGTGCCTACTTACTAGTAAGTGTCTTCTGAGATTGGCAGGCTACTCCTCAAAGGTCTCAACAGAAGTCTATAGACATTGACACTCTAGAGCCAGATTACCTGAGTTCATATCTGCACTTTACTACTCCTTGAGCAAATTACTTAATCCCTTTGTGCCTCAGTTTCCACATTTGTAAAATAAGGATAATAATAGAACCTATTTCATAGGCTAGTTTTGAGGAATAAATGAATTACGATGTAGTAGAGCTCTTAGAACATTGCCTGACTGTTAATAAGTAATTGGTAATTATTAAGAGAGTCAATTGCATTACCATTTGTTCTGACAGCAATTCTCAATATTGTGGGGCCTCAAATTATGGTTTGGTGACATAAAAGGTAATTTTTTTAGTGACTTTTTTCCAATGTTGAGAAGATATTTTTTTTTCTTTATTGATTAAGGTATTACCTATGTGTCCTTATTCCCCCATTGCCTCCCCACTCATGCCCTCACCCCTCTGGTGTCTCTGTCCATTGGTTAGGCTTATATGCATGCATATAAGTCCTTTGGTTGATCTCTCCCCCTTACCCCCACCCTCCCCTACCTTCCCTCTGAGGTTTGATGGTCTGATCGATGCTTCTCTGTCTTTGGATCTGTTTTTGTTCATCAGTTTATGTTGTTCATTATATTCCACAAATGAGTGAGATTATGTTATATTTATCTTTCTCTGACTGGCTTATTTCGCTTAGCATAAAGCTCTCCAGTTCTATCCATGCTGTTGCAAATGGTAAGAATTTCTTCTTTTTTACTGCAGTGTAGTATTCCATTGTATAGATGTACCACAGTTTTTTTGTTTGTGTGTTTGTTTTTTTAATTAATTCTCCTTTATCAGGAAGAGATCAACGAAGGCCCACATGGTAGTAGTACATTGCTTTAATATCTGATTCAGACACTTTATATTTGTCTTTTTTTTTAATTGTTTAAAGTATTACTGATAGCAGTACATATGTCTCCTTTTTTTTTCCCCCCATTGACCTTCCCCCAGCCTCCCCTACCCCTGGCACATGCCCTCCCCCCACCCCCCCAGGGTCTTGTATCCATTGGTTATGCTTATATGCATGCATACAAGTCCTTCGCTTGATCTCTTACCTCCCCCCTAACACTCCCCAGCCTTCCCACTGTAATTTGACAGTCTGTTCAATGCTTCTCTGCCTCTCTATCTTTTTGTTCATCAGGTTATAATGTTCTTTATTATCCATAAATGAGTGAGATCCTGTGGTGTTTTTCTTTCACTTCCTGGCTTATTTCACTTAGCATAATGCTTTCCAGTTCCATCCATGCTGCTGCAAATGGTAAGAATTCCTTCTTTTTTATAGCAGTGTAGTATTCCATTGTGTATATGTACCAGAGTTTTCTAATCTACTCATCTGTTGATGGGCATTTAGGCTGTTTCCAAATCTTGGCTATTGTAAATTGTGCTGCTGTGAACCTAGGGGTGCATATATCCTTTCTGATTGGTGTTTCTGTTTTCTTGGGATATATTCCTAGAAGTGGTATTACTGGGTCAAATGGCAGTTCCATTTTTAAATTTTTGAGGAAACGCCATACTGTTTGCTGCCTGTGGATTTCTCTAGTATTTTTATGGTTTCCCATCTTATGTTTAAGTCCTTTATCCATTTTGAGTTTATTTTTGTGTATGGTGTAAGTTGGTGATCTAGTTTCATTTTTGCATGTATCTGACCAAATTTCCCAGCACCATTTATTAAAGAGGCTGTTTTGGCTCCATTGTATGCTCTTGCCTCCTTTGTCGAATATTATTTGAGTATAATGGCTTAGGTCAATTTCTGGGTCCTCTATTCTGTTCCATTGGTCTATATGTCTGTTCTTGTGCCAGTACCAGGCAGTTTTGAGAACCATGGCTTGGTAATATAGTTTGATGTCTGGTATTGTGATCCCTCCAACTTTTGTTCTTCTTTCTCAGGATAGCTGTGGTTATTCGGGGTCTTTTTTATTCCAGATGAATTTTTGGAGATTTTGTTCTAGAATCTTTGAAATATGCCATTGGTATTTTAATAGGTATTGCATTGAATCTATAGATTGCTTTAGGTAGTATGGACATTTTAATGATGTTGATTCTGCCAGTCCATGAACATGGTATGGTCTTCCATTTGTTTATGTCTTCCTCTATCTCTTTTTTTCAATGTCCTGTAATTTTTCGAGTACAGGTCTTTTATGTCCTTGGTTAAGTTTATTCCTAGGTATCTTAATTTTTTTGCTGCAGTGGTTAATGGGATTGTTTTTTTCATTTCTATTTCTGTGAGCTCATTATTTGTGTATAAAAAGGCCATAGATTTCTGGATGTTAATTTTGTATCCTGCTACATTGCCAGATTCATTTATTAGGTCTAGTAGTTTTTTGATGCAGTCTTTGGGGTTTTTTATGTATAACATCATGTCGGCTGCAAATAAGAACAGTTTTACTTCTTCTTTTCCAATTAGGGTGCCTTTTATTTTTTATTCTTGTCTGACCGCTATGGTGGCTAGTACTTCTAGTACTATGTTGAAGAGGAGTGGTGAAAGTGGGCATCCTTGTCTTGTTCCTGTTCTTAGGGGAAATGGATTTAGTTTTTGCCCATTGAGTATGATGTTGGCTGTAGGTTTGTTATATAGGGCTTTTATTTTGTTGAGGTATGATCCCTCTGTTCCCACTTTGCTGAGAGTTTTTATCAAGAAAGGGTGTTGGATTTTGTCAAATGCTTTTTCTGCATCAATTCATATGATTATGTGACTTTTGTCTCTCAGTTTGTTTATGTGATGTATCACATTTATTAATTTCGGATATTGAACCATCCTTGCATCCCTGGAATAAATCCCACTTGGTCATGGTGTATGATCTTTCTAATGTATTGCTGAATCCGATTTGCTAGGATTTTGTTGAGGATTTTAGCATCTATGTTCATCAAGGATATTGGCCTGTAGTTCTCTTTTTTTGTGGTGTCTTTATCTAGTTTTGGGATTAGGGTAATGCTGGCTTCATAGAAAGAGCTTGGAAGTCTGCCTTCCTCTGGAATTTTTTGGAATAGTCTGAGTAGGATAGGTTTTAGTTCTTTGAATGCTTGGTAGAACTCCCCTGTAAAGCCGTCCGGACCAGGGCTTTTGTTTGCTGGAAGGTTTTTGATCGCTGTTTCAATTTCTTCAGTAGTTATTGGCCTATTCAGGTTTTTTGACTCTTCTTGGTTGAGTTTTGGGAGCTTGTATTTTTCTAAGAATATGTCCATTTCATCTAGGTTGTCCATTTTGTTGGAATAGAGTTGTTCATAGTATTTTTCATAATTGTTTGTATTTATGTGGGATCGGTTGTTATTTCACCTCTTTCATTTCTGATTTTGTTTATTTGGGTCCACTCTCTTTGCTTCTCGGTGAGCCTGGCTAGAGGTTCATCAATCTTGTTTATCCTTTCAAAGAACCAGCTCTTGGTTTTGTTGATCTTTTGTATTGTTTTTTTGGTCTCTGTGTCATTTATCTCCACTCTGATCTTTATTATTTCTTTCCTTCTGCTTACGCTGGGCTTTTCTTGTTGCTCTCTTTCTAATTCTTTGAGTTGTAGAGTTAGGTAATTTATTACCATTGTTTCTTGTTTTCTGAGGCAGGCCTGTAGAGCTATGAACTTCCCTCTCAAGACTGCTTTCACTGTGTCCCATAGATTTTGGGTTGTAGTGTTTTCATTGTCGTTTGTTGCCATGATGCTTTTTATTTCTTCTTTGATCTCTCTGGTAACCCAGTCATTATTTAATAGCATGCTATTTCGCCTCCAGGTGTTTGATTTTTTTTTTATTGTTTTTATTGTAGTTGATTTCTAGTTTTATTACATTGTGGTCTGAGATGGTGCTTGATATGATTTCTATCTTCTTGAATTTGAAGAGACTTTGCCTGTGACCCAATATATGGTCTATCTTTGAAAATGAACCATGTGCACTTGAGAAGAATGTATATTCTGTAGCTTTGGGGTGAAATGTTCTGAAGATGTCAATTAGTTCCATCTGATCTAGTGCATCATTTAGGATTGATGTTTCTTTGCTGATTTTTTGTTTAGAGGATTTGTCCAATGGTGATAGTGGGGTATTAAAGTCCCTTACTATGACTGTATTGCTATCAGTCTCTCCCTTGATATCCTCTGAAAGTTTTTTATGTATTTAGGTGCTCCTGTATTAGGTGCGTATATGTTTACCAGAGTTATATTTTTTTTTTGGATTGCTCCCTTTAGTATTATGAAGTGGCCTTCCTCATCTCTTGTTATGTCCTTCACTTTGAGATCTAATTTGTCAGATATAAGTATTGCTA